AAGGAGCACCGTGACTGTTCTCACCCTCCCTCCCACTGCGATGTTTGCCACCATGACAGGAGACGAAATCAATCAATGGGCTCTGTGTTCATTCAACTTTTACTTATTCGGCGATTAAATAAACGTGTTAGCTACTGCAGTGTACACAAGAACAAAGAACGGCTCTCAGTGAGGCTTCAGTCCTATAGGACTTAGTAAAGATCCATCCAGAAGAATCGGATCGTTCCTGAATGTCATAACACTATATTGCACTTTGGTCACAGCGTTGTCCCATAAATGCGACACCTCAGTCACCACTTACCACACAATAATTCAGCGCATGAATGACAACTTTTTTTCATCCAGATGCAACATGTGTCTCAGTACAGCTAGCTTTGCTAGCATCACTTCCACAGATCTTACCTTTCTTTAAGCTTTCCGTCCAAGTGTTGGACAAAGTCCCACCGTCTGTGAAAGCGAAGCGCTGCTGGTTTTACATGTCGTCATATCTTATGATTTATGCAGCGCTATTATATTACTGACGATCAGACAGACATCTTCTCCCGCCCAGAGGAAACCACTGCTCCGCGTGCGAGTAAAGGGGGAGGCGATGGGTGACAACAGACACGCAAGTCACGTTATTGCTTGGATTTTATGGCGCCACCTTAAGTTCCTCAGCTTCACATTTTAACGGAAAAAAGAGCAATGCGACGAGTAACGCGACAGTTTTGTAGAAATGTAGTGAAGTAGAAAGTACAGATACTTACTGTAAAATGTACAACTTTCAAGTAAAAGTTGATTATTAAATCTACTTAAGCAAAGTACAGATACACAACAATTGTACTTCAGTTACTTCCCACCACTGATTATAACCTATTTATGTCACGTTAACGAAGAACAGCTGAAAACTTACCGGGTTTATCAACTGCGGTAGCAATTTGGCTCCAACTCCTCCGCTTGTCATTTCTATATTAAATGTTGAAAACATTAATGTTGTTTCCGCATATCATCTCCAATGTTGGCTGGACTTCGGGTTGCGCCTTGTCAGCTGTTTGGGATTCCCCTCCGTAATTTTCCCTCAGAAAGGAGGTGAATCCGCGCTTTCTGATTGGCTACCTGTCACATTCAACAGGCTGCGTTAAGCTCCCAGTTGGGGAAAACTCCTAATCGGAGTGGCCACAACGAACTAACGTAATACACCACACACTGCACGATGATCAGTTACGAACTCACTGGCGACAATCTTAGATCGGCCAACGATCTAAGATCGTCGTAAGGGGAAAATAGGGGCAAAAAACCATGTTGTATGAATTATTGCATTAGGTAGTCGGATGTGCCCCTCTTCTCTATTTAAATGTAGTGATTACTGAAGGGCATGACTTCAGTCATGCAGACTTCATAATCTGCACTCTTTTGGTTGAATGCAGGATTTATTTCCACTTTGGCTTTATGTTTCTTAGTTTTTATTCAAGTACGTTTTTTGTTAATGGAGCCTGAGAATCCATTTTATTTTTGTTTTTGCTTGTTTTGTTTATTTAGTTTATCAGTTCCAGTGTTATGTGTTCTTTTGAAAATAAAGTGTACCTATCTATGGCAGGAAATTGCATGCATTATTAGTCATTTCCATTAAATCAGTGTCAAAAGGTCTTGAAACAATATTATCGTTTATCACAATATTTTTTTAGAAAATTAATCGCTCAAGCAAAATTTGTTATTGTGACAGGCCTACTCTCAGTCTTCAATAACAAAAATGCACTTGAATAAAAGCTAACAAACATAAAATCAAAGTGGAAATAAAAACTACATTCAACCAAAAGAGTACAGATTATGAAGTCTGTATACTATATTGCCCTTCAATAATCATTAGATGTAAATAGAGAAGACGGGCATATCCGATTACTTGATGTTCACTCCTCCCTTAAGCCCAGTTCACACTACACTTTTTTTTGACCCAATTTCCCAATTACGACAATCTAAGAACATCCAACGTTCTAAGATTTGTCACTTGCGATAATCGTAACCCATCCTTTAGTGTGAGGTGTGTTACGACTGATGGGGTTGAGTCGGTAGAACGGTAGAATGTCGTGGCCGCTCCGATCTAAATCAGGCATATTCAACATGTTGGATTATCTTGGCCAGTTTATCACTACAGCGTGTGGGGTTTTCCCCGACTGGGAGCGAGAACGCAGCCTGTCGAATGTAACACGTAGCCAATCAGAAAGTGCGGATTCCCCTCCGTGCTTTCCCCTCAGAAAGCACACGGGCCTGTAACAATCATCAGCCATGTTTGTTTACATTAATTCACGTATGGCGGGCTTTTACTGGATTTTCTGTCTGAAATATGAATGCAGGTGAGAGAAATCAGTTCGTGTGTGGTGTGTTGCTCTTGCCGTGTGGCTGGACAACCGATCGAATCGTTATACCTACGATTTTTTGTCGGCTCGTCTGTGGTCTCTCAGGTTTTGAAAATGGGCTGACGATCGGCCGACAATTTTAAAATCGTGTAGTGTGAGCTGGGCAATACACTAAGGCAGTGGTTCCCAAACTTTTTCTCCTGGGCCCCCCCAGTGGTTTCCAAACTATTTCTGCCCCCATGGCTTAGAGACTCCCTACTCAGCCCCGGCTCCAGACGAACAAGGGGGGGAATCAACTTTTGGGGGAGGGGG